TGAGTAAATAAATATTTGAAAAATGAAAAATTTTACATGCAAACTTGGGCCTTGAGGAAAAGCGCACATATCTGGCCTTTCTGCCTCGTTTCTGGGTTGCTCACTCTTGGCATTTCACAGAGTTTAAGTGCGTTGGCAGTGTGTCTGTGGGTGGGCACATGACCATGAGCCACTGGAGAGCTCTGTGTACTCCTTTAGAGGCACACTCACTGCCAGGGATGAGTTTGCCCTCCCTTATTCCTGAAGGGCAGGAGCCGTGGCTCAAGGCTTCCTGTGTGGTGCCCCCTGGGAATCCTTGCCCACTGAACTACTGGGAGCCAAGCCCCATGGCTCCATCCTGAAGCCAGCCTGTGCCAGCCTGTCGCTCAGCCTGAGTTCAGGGAAGCATCTGGTGCTAAGCCCGCAGAAGGGTTGCGTATGTGGATTGAGTGATCAGGTGCAGTGAGAGTTGGTGTGTAAGGCCCAGACAGGGTCCTTCCCAAGAGCATTCTAGACGATTGATGGGAGAAAAGAGAGAGAGAGAGGGAAACCTGTTTTTGATACACGTTTGATAATCTAGGAGAGACAATAAAAAAACTACCCACCCCTAAATTTCTCGGGTCCAAGGTCTTAGGGATTAAACCTGAATTTTTAAAAAGTGTGCATATAGTCTAGAATTTTCCACCATTGTTGCCAGTGTATGATTGCACATGTTAATTTCAGTTTCAACAACAAGCCTGATGTTTGTTGCTCTGTGTTCTGATCAACCCACGTTCATTCCCTCCGTGGTTACAGCGGCATGTGTGGAGGTAGGATGGCTGGTGGCACCTCTTGTCTCCACCGTGGCTCTCTCCTGGAGCGACTGCTCGGGTCTGCACACCAGCACTGTGACATGGGCTGCTGGGCTGGTTTCCGTCCCCATAGGGGAGCTTCTGCGGTGGTGGCTTACAGGCCTGCGTTAGCTACCACCTTCTGGATGTTAGGTCATGATGATGTCTATTGGTCTTCTCTGTGGAGGAAAAGTGGAGACATTTCCTAAGTATTGGAAGGTCTGAAAGGCAAGCTGTGACCAGTGGGCTTCGTTTTTGGTGCTGTTCAGAAAAAGGAGTTGAAATATTTAGCATCAAAACTACCACCTGCTTTGGAACAGACCCTGGTCTTATTCTGAACTTATTAAACAACTGGTTTCTCATCTCCCAAGCCACTCCTCTGAGTTTTGCTAGAAATTTAAATGCCATACATTTGTATATAACACATTTTTAAAGGTGGAATTGGAATAGAACTTTCTAGTAGGGAAGAAGTTGAAAATAACTTGTATTTTAGGAAAGTCCCCCCTGCTGCTTACTTATTTGTAACTTGAGGTTTCTGGTCTCTGGCTACCAAATGTGCCAGAGACAGACCTCTCTAGTGAGAGAGAGAACAGCCCAGAAAGAAGAATGGTGACTTCGTGTGTGGTATACGTGGGCTGCTCAGAAGCCACAGAGAAACTGATTCAACTGAGCTGTTGACTGAGGCAGCAGGTGCACTGGACAGAAAAAAAATTGTTCATGGCCTTGCTCAGATATCGGAGCTCCTATCCTTAATCTGGGGGGTTGGGTGCAAAACAAATGTGAATAGAAGTCCTCCACCCTTCCTGTAGCTCATCCCAGGCTGGGGTGACCGTGCTACTCCCCAGGTGCTCTCCTTGGCTCCAACCACCTCCTGCAGGAAGGAGAGACAGCAGGTGGATTCCTGGTGACTAGAACAGGAGCAAGCACTGACTTTACTTTTGTAAAAGCCAACGTGGCCAGCATGCTTTGGGGACAAGGAAGTCAGTTTGCCAGTTTAAATATGTTGGGCATAGTCAGCTCTCAGGCAACTTGGCGTCATCTTGAGGGACCTTGCCTTCCGTTCTTGCAGTGTGTGAATTTCTAGAGCGTTTCTGGTGCTTCCCCATGCACTCCCAGCTCCTCTCTGGAGGAAGCGCAGGCCCCTTTGGAAACAGTAGTCCATGACATAGGTATTTAAGGAACCGCGGGTTTGGTCTGCAGTAACTGGACCCAACTGTATAATTTCTGTAGAATTTGTATAATTTCTCTGTGTGTCCAGGGGACTTTCTGGGCATGTTTGTATCTTCTCTTTGTGAGGGCTTGGTAGTAAATTCCGTGGCCTGTACCATCTCTTATGGTGGTTGCTGCTTGGAAGACAGCTGTGCGGTGGTTGGAAGTGAGAGCTCTAGTGCAGAGGGGCGTCTATGTGAAAGCCGAGGCTGGCGAGGTTGAGGTACGGTTGTATCACAGGGGCCCCATGGCCAGATCATGTCCGAAAAGATCACTCGGGCTGTGTACGGATTCCAGAGTTGAGAGTATACTATCTTGCATTTATGTCACATTTTGAAAGTTTTTGTTTTTTATTCCCCCCTCGAAAGAAAATAGCTT